TGGCCTCAAGTGATCCACCCACCTCAGCCTCCCAAAGTGCTGGGATTACAGGTGTAAGCCGCCGCACCTGGCCCCCTTCTCATTCTTGCCTCTCCTTTGTTCAAACTGAAGGAGTCTCTCCTTGTAGGCACCACTGCCCCAGACCCATGGCAAATACTGCCTGGCTACTACTAATGTTCATTCGAGGTCCAAAGACTCTTCAGTCAGCTTGTGAATGCTGCCAGGCCTGGGTCTCTCCCTTCAGTGAAGTGGACTCCCCTCTGGCCTAGGGCAAGTCCAAAAATGCCATCCAGGAGCCAAGACCTGAAACTGGGGACTCCTGAAGCCCACTTGGTGCTCTACCTCACTATGGTTGAGCTGGTACCCAAGACAAAGTCCCCTTTACTTTTCCATTTCCTTTTCTTAAGCAGAGGAAGTCTCTGCTCATGGTCATCACAGCTGGGAATGTAGTGGGTCACACCTGAAGCCCCCATGGCACTGGGTGTCACCTAAGGCCTGCATCAAATACTACCTGGCAGCCACCAAATGTTTAATCAAGGCCCAAGGGCTATTTTTTTTTTTTTAATGGATTTTTGCTCTGTTGCCTAGGCTGGAGTGCAGTGGTGTGATCTAGGCTCACTGCAACCTCCACCTCCCGGGTTCAAGTGATTCTCATGCCTCAGCCTCCTGACAGCTGGCATTACAGGCGCCTGCCACCATGCCCAGCTAATTTTTTAGTAGAGACAGGGTTTTGCCATGTTGGCTAGGCTGGTTTTGAACTCCTGACCTCAGGTGATTCGTCCACCTTGGCCTCCCAAAGTGTTGGGATTACGTGCATGAGCCACCGCACCCAGCCAAGGCCCAAGGGCTCTTTAATTAGCAGATGATGAATCCTACCAGGACAGTGTCCTTCCTTTCAAGATAGCAGGTTCCCTTCTGCCCCAGGGTGTGTATAGAAATTTTTTAGGGAGTTAGTGTCTGAAATGGGGGCCTTGTGACTCTGCCTGATGCCCTGTTGTGACTGAGCTATTATCCGAGTTGCAAAACAAAGTCCTTTTTACTCTCGCCTCTCCTCAAGCAGGAAGAAGGAGTAACTCTCCCAGAGTTATGAGCTGTGCTGCCTGGGATGTGGGGAGGAGTAGTACAAGCACTCTCTTGGCCACCCCAGCAGGTATCTCACTAGGTCATATGCATCCCAGGTCCACCGGTTTCAAGCCTAGCACAGCACCAGAACTTGCCCAGGAATTGCAGTCTTTGTGGCCTAAACTGCCTTTCGAGTTTATTTAGGATCCCAGAGTGCTTTAGCCCACAGTGTCGGGGCTAGCTGGAACTCAGGTTCAGACCACTGTGATGGGCAATTCATTCCCTTTGGCTAGCGCTGGTCTAAATGCTTCTTCCACAGGCACTGACTGAATTCTGCCCTGTGTGGCTTTCCACTGTAGTAGGCAGCACTGAGTTCCAAATCTGTGCACCTGGGGGAGTGCAGTGATTGTGGAATGCAGAGTCCCACATCCCACAATCACTGCACTCCCCCAGGTGCACAGATTCTCTCTGCACCACGTGGCTGCTGCCACTGCCTGGGAATGGAAGAGAGTGATGTTGGCAATTCTAGACTCTTTTCTTCCCTCTTCAGTGGCTCTTTCCTTGATATGATGTTAAAACCAGGTACTGTGATTGCTCACCTGATTTTTGATTCTTATGAAGGTGCTTTCTTGTATGGATAGTCATTCAATTTGGTGTTCCTGCAGGGGGGACTGGAGGGTTCTATTTGGCCATCTTGCTTCTCCTCCTCCTAAGACTTTTTTAACATAATTTTCTTGAAAGATGAATTTTTCCCCTCCAGATACATGTCCTGAAACTGAACAAAATGGAACTGTTACCATTTCATGCTGATGTGGAGATTGGCCAGATTATAGAAATCCCCATTGCAATGTATCACATAAATAAAGAGACCAAAGAAGTCATGGCATTCACAGACTGCTCTCATTTATCCTTGGATCTGAACATGGATAAACAAGGAGTCTTTACTCTGCTCAAAGAAGGTAAAAGTAGCCTTTTTTAAATCTTCTCCATCCTTTCTCTTTATTTATTTATCTTTAACTCTGCCAGTGTGACAGATTACTTTCTTTGTCTTTAAGGAAGCAATCAACAATTCAGAAACTACCAATTGTAGTCTAAATTCACATATTATTTTCCTTTATAATACTTTATTTTGTCAAATGCCTTGTAGTAAGTGTTATACTCCTCATTTTACAGATGTAGAAACACAGGCACAGAAATTGAACAACATTGTGGCTGGACAATATCAGTTTTTTGTTTTTTTATTTTTGTTTTTTGAGACAGTGTCTCGCTTTTGTCACCTAGACTGGAGTACAGTGGCATGATCTCGGCTCACTGCAACCTCCACCTCCCGGGTTCAAGTGATTTTCCTGCCTCAGCCTCCCAAGTACGTGGGATTACAGATGCCCACCATCATGCCTGGCTAATTTTTGTATTTTTAGTAAATATGGGGTTTCGCCATGTTGGCCAGGCTGGTCTTGAACTCCTGACCTCAGGTGATCTGCCCACCTCGGCCTCCCAAAGTGCTGGGATTACAGGCATGAGCCACTGTGCCTGGCCAGTTTTTATTTATTTATTAATTTATTATTATTATTATTATTATTATTATTAGAGACAGGTTCTCACCGTGTCACCCAGGCTGGAGTGCAGTGGTGCAATCATAGAACATTGTAACCTTGAACTCCTGGGCCCAAGCTACGCTGCTCTCTCAGCCTCCCATGTAGCTTGGATTACAAGTGCAAGGTCAATATCAGATTTTAGTTCACAGTAAGGTTTTCCATTTCTAGCCTCAAGCTCTTTTCTTCTTTCTTTCCCTAATATATATATCATATGTCTTTCTAAGAGGAGTGTAGAGCCATTTAATAGATGCATACATTCAATTTATTGAAAAAGGATAAAATAGCTCTTTCTAGTAAAACAGAAAATATGAATAAAGGTCAACATCCTTTCCTGCTATTGAACTTCATAGTCGATCCTGATCCCCATTGCTTTTTCATCAATATAATGACAGTAGTAGCATCTAAGATTTGCTCAGCATTTACTCTTTGCCAAGCTCTGTTCTGAATAATTTTTATACCTTAACTGTTTAATTCTTACGTCTGTAAGCTTGGTATCAAATTGGACTTTTGCTTTGCCCTTGTTCATTATACTACATGCATACATATGTACATACCCTCACTCCCGGGTTCAAGTGATCTTTCCCCTCTTCTCAGAGTATTTTAATTTTTAGCCCCTTATTTCCCATGTAGGACAACAAAATCCTCCCGACTATTCTTACCTCTGATCATCATGGTTATCAGATGGATCTTTATGAACTCAACTTTGGTCTTACTTTTTCTGCTCAAAAATCTTGAGAGACTTCTCATTGTCAGTGGAATGGAGTCAAAATCCTTTTAGTTTGGTATTCAAGACCCCTCTACAATATAACCCAACCTAGTTTTCATGATTTCATACTTTTGCTTCATATATGGTTCTAGCTAAATCAACTATGTTATGTGTTTATTTTTATTTATTTTTTGTTTTGTTTTGTTTTGTTTTTTGAGATGGAATCTCAGTCTGTCACTCAGGCTGGAGTGCAGTGGTGTAATCTCCGCTCACTGCAACGTCCACCTCCAAGGTTCAAGGGATTCTTGTCCCTCAGCCTCCTGAGTAGCTGGGACTATATGCACGTGCCACCACACCTGGCTAATTTTTGAATGTTTAGTACAGACAGGGTTTCACCATGTTGGCCAGGCTGGTCTCGAACTCCTGACCTCAAGTGATCTGCCTATCTCAGCCTCCCAAAGTGCTGGGATTACAGGCGTGAGCCACTATGCCCGGCTAAATCAACTACTTTAAATTCTCTCATATATATCTCTCATATTCTCATTTATATCTCATTTGTATTTCTTTGTTCATTCTGTTTTCTCAGCCTGAGATACTTTAAACTTTCCTCGATCTCTCCAGCTTGAAATAATCTTTCTATTTTCTAGACTTCTATAATACTTATCACTTTCTATTAATGTTTTAAGTGACTTATTTACATTTTCACTTTCCCCTTGAAACTATAAATGCTTCAAGTCAGGATCTTTGCTCATATATATATATTGCCACTGTACATACAACTGTGTCTTATATATGTCTCTCAATAGAAAGAACAGATATCAACTTGATATAAAGGGCCTAATTGATAATGTAAGAGATCAAGATGGGTTTTGTTTGTTTGTATGTTTGTTTGTTTTTAACAGTCTTACTCTGTCACCCAGGCTGGAGTGCAATGGCATGTTTTGGCTCACTTCAACCTCCGCCTCCGGGGTTCAAGTAATTCTCCCTGCCTCAACCTCCCAAGTAGCTGGGATTACAGGCATGCACCACCACACCCGGCTAATTTTGTATTTTTAGTAGAGATGGGGTTTCTCCATGTTGGTCAGGCTGGTCTCGAACTCCTAAGCTCAGGTGATCCACCTGCCTCGGCCTTCCAAAGTGCTGGTATTACAGGCGTGAGCCACTGTGCCTGGCCCAAGATGGTATTTTTAATGTATTAAAATTCTTATATTTTTGTAGCTTAATTTCCTTTAAAACTAACTGGTCGTGGCTGGGTGCGGTGGCTCATGCCTGTAATCCCAGCATTTTGGGAGGCTGAGGTGAGTGGATCACAAGGTCAGGAGTTTGAGACCAGCCTGGCCAACACAGTGAAACCCTATCTCTACTAAAAATACAAAAAATTAACCAGGCATGGTGGTGGGTGCCTGTAATCCCAGCTACTTAGGAGTCTGAGGCAAGAGAATCGCTTGAAGCTGGGAGGCAGAGGTTGCAGTGAACTGAGATTGTGCCATTGCACTCCAGCCTGGGCAACAAGAGTGAGACTCCATCTCAAAAAAAAAAAAAAAAGAAAACTAACTGCTTGTTACCCCACTGAAATCATATTTGTTTTGTTTTGTTTTTTTAGGTAAGGTGTTACTCTGTGGCCCAGGCTGGAGTGTAGTGGTACAATCACGACTCACTGCAGCCTCAACCTCCTGGGCTCAAGCGATCCTCCTTCCTTAGCCTCCTGGGTAACTGGGACTACAGGTGCACACCACCGTGCCTGGCTAATTTTTTAAATATTTTGTAGAGACGGGGTTTCACCATGTGTTTCAGGCTGGTCTTAAACTTCTGAGCTCAAGCAATCTGCTTGCCTCGGCCTCCCAAAGTGCTGGGATTACAAGCCTGAGCCACCACGCCCTGCCAAAATCATGGTTTTTGATTCACAGGTATTCAAAGACCTGGACCAATGCATTGTTCCAGTACACATATCGCAGCTAAATCTCTCGGCCATGCTGTGGTAACAGTAAGTGTGAGTGAATGTGACAAGTACTTGGAGAGCAGTGCTACATTTGCTGCTTATGAACCCCTAAAGGTAAGATATTTCATGGTAAGGAACTGGCATTTCTTTTAATGGACTCAACTATGTCCACTTATGGGCTTGCTAGTTATCTGTGGTCTCTACTAAGGATCAATGACATTTATGTTCTCTTTACTTGCCACTCTTTTGTTTTTAGATCTGCAGCTGTCTCCTCAAACCTAAGTCTCCAGGGAGTTTACTGCCTCACAGGAATATCTTTAAGTTGTATCAGAAAGTTTTAGATATTTCCCTTTCTTCTTTTTTACTGAGGTATAAAATATGTACAGAAAAGTTCATAAAGTACGCTCATCTTAAGTTGTTATCTGAATTTTTACATGCACATATATCTCTGTAAATACCAAAATTAGTATATTAGCATACTCCCTTTTGAAGAACTCTGAAAGATAATTTCTGTCCTATGGAAGGACGTCAATCATCTTTTACCCTATCTACTTATGGATTTTAAGCACAGAAGCCGTTATATTGAGCCCTAAGGACTGGTTCATTATAATGGAGATAGTACGATAAGTGGTTCTGATGGCAGTGGCAGCCTGTCTGGAGCAGCTGCTGCCCTCACGCCATCTGCAGCAGGGAGATGCAGCTGGGGCTGCACACTCCATGGAGCCGTTTGGAGCCGACACCAAGTGGGAGCCCCGGGAGCCCCACTCCTTCTGAGTTGGTGGGGCAGGAGCTCCCTGGGTGCAGCTTTGGCTGCCCAAGTCATGGCTGCGGACCCAGGCCTCCTGCTCCACTGAGCAGGCAGGAGATGCACCCCTGCCCCAGCCCCACCACCTCCTTGCCATGCAACTGCAGCCACCCAAATGGCAGCTGCAGACCCAGGCATCCTTGTACTCTTGGGGGCCCAGGAAGGCCCCTTCTGCGTGCTCCCACTGCCTGGCTTCTCCCTGCTGTCAGCACCAACTGTGATCTCAGAACAAAGTTGGGCCAATCCTGGGTGCTGTCACAGTCTGGCCAGATGAGCACATGCTTGGGGCAATTTTGACATGGCAGGCCCCTGCTGCCTTGGCCCTCTCCAGACTTTGGGCACCAACAAGCGTAGGAGGGAAGCCAAGGGAGGGCAGCTCAGCACTGGCCTGCAGGTGCCCCTTGGCATCTACAGCCTGGGTGCCATGAACAGCAGTAGGAGGCAGACAGGTTCCTGGGCAGAAGGTGCAGTCCCTGGTGAGGCCCTACCTTCAGACCAGGCAGGGCCTGAACACTGGGATCCAGGCTGCCAGTCCCGCAGACCAGAGTGGGAACTTGTGATGCCTTTTCTGGGCCCACCCGTGGCTGCCCATGGACCAGTCAGTGTAGACTTCCTCCCCTTTGATGCCCATAAAAGCTCCAGGCTCAGCCAGAGCTGGGCAGATGTTGGACAACCAGCTGCAGAGAGGAGCTACCAACTCCAGGGCCTCCTCTCTTCTGAGAGTTGCAGACACTGGGATGACCAGCAGCAGAGAGGTACTGCCCACTCCAGGGCCTCCTCTGAGCTATTCTGTTACTCAGTAAAGCTCTTCTTCACCTTGCTCACCCTCCACTTGTTCTGCGTACCTTATTCTTCCTGGATGCAGGACAAGAACTTGGGACCTGCCCAATGGCAGGGCTGAAAGAGCTATAACACAAACAGGGCTGAAACATGCCCCTTGCTCACCACATTGTGGGTAAAGAGAAGAACTGCGACTCTTCAGGGAGCTGAGACCTGGGAGCTCCCCAAGCCAGGGCTGTGACTCCCACTTTGGGGCCCTGTGGTTCCTGGAGTCTCCAAGCTTCCAGGCACCACTGTGTTCCCCAGTGGCATCGTGGAAGCTGCTTGCGGTGCACCTGATCTAGCCACAGGCTTGCAGAGAGCCAGTGCCCATGCCAGCACCTGGAGCTACCTCTCCCACTACAGCAACTGGTGTGCCTGACTGTGTGCAGTGGCTGGACCCCATGCTCACTCACTCACACACCTGTTGCCATTCCATGCCTGGCTCACCCTTGGCAGGTGTGAGATCCAGGCTGGTAGCATGAACCAAGCACAGCCTGCCAGGCCGAGTGGATGGAACAAGCCCTGTGGGCCCAAACAAAACTTGGGCAAAAGTGCCACCAGCCACAGAGGTTTCCAGCCGGAAAAGCGACACCCCAAGGATCCTGCAACGATTCAGAATAAAAGTAGATAGAGACTGGCATGCTTTCTACATCCTATTTGATTCCAGCAGGAGCTAAAATTGGTATCTACAAGTTTTTGCTGATAGATACTGACAAATCCTGACTCAATGCCTCTTGGAATAAGGAGCATCCACAGGGAAAAATATTAACACTAATGAAAGAAGTAAAGTAAAGTAAAAGAAAAAAGATAAATTATTCATTCAAATCTCCATTTTAAGTTGGCCTCATTGTACATTGTGTAGCACATATATTAAATATAGGTTCAAGTATGTTTCACTAGTTCCCTGGGTGAGTCCTCCTTCTTGCCTCATTAAATGCAAGTGCTTGGCTGTGGCTCACTGTAAAGTTCCATTAGGTTTTTTCTCACTTTTATCATTGTCCTTAGGCTTATTTTGTATGTATTGAGTGTCCACAAATAGATCTCCCCTGAATGAAAGTTGTCCTTAAAGGATAGGAAGTAAGATGATGATTTTCTTTTTTACCTAGTATATTAGTCATGTGTCTTTCCCCTTGCCTGATGAAAAAAAAAATTGTTTAAAAATATGTATGTTCTACCCTTGTTATCATTACTGTGTTTCAGTACATGGTACAGTTCTCAATTTGTCCTTTTACATTATCAGCTCAATTCAGTTCGTCTGGTTAGTTTTGGACTATACATCTAAGAAAAAGGAATCATTTCGGTTTTGCTTTTCCAGAAAAGCCATCTATGAGACCTCTGTGTTTATTTTTTCTATTCATTTCTTCTGTCAAAAACTTTTTTTTTTCTTTTCTTTTTTTTTTTTTGTTTTTTGAGACAGAGTCTCACTCTGTCACCCTGGCTGGAATGCAGTGGCGCAATCTTGGCAACCTCCACCCCCTGGGTTCAAGTGATTCTTGTGCCTCAGCCTCCTGGGTGGGTGGAATTACAGGTACGCACCATGATGCCCAGCTAATTTTTGTATTTTTAGTAGATACAGAGTTTTGCCATGATGGCCAGTCTGGTCTTGAACTCCTGGGCTCAAGTGATCCACCTGCCTTGGCCTCCCAAACTGCTGGCATTACAGGAATGAGCCACCACGCCTGGTCAAAAATTTGTATGGTACTCTGTAACATGTCTTTTTTTTTTTTCTGAGATCAAGTTTTGGTCTTGTTGCCTAGGCTGGAGTGCAATGGTGCGATCTTGGCTCACTGCAACCTCTGCCTCCAAGTGATTATCCTGCCTCAGCCTCCCAAACAGCTGGGATTACAAGCGTGCACCACCAAGCTCGGCTAATTTTGTATTTTTAGTAGAGATGGGATTTCACCATGTTGGCCAGGCTGGTCTCAAACTCCTGACCTTAAGTGATCCACCCACCTCAGCCTCCCAAAGTGCTGGGATTACAGGCATGAGCTACCGCACCTGGCCACATGTCTTTTTGCAATACTTATTGTACTCTTTACCTACTCTAAGTCTGTCTCTGCCAGATTGTGGACTCCCCTGTGAGACAAGACTTTATTTGAATTTCTATTACTGTATCCTCATAAGTGAATATTTATTGAATTATATACACATTATTTAAGAGAATACTACCATCAGGGATAGGAATGTTCAGTTTTAATAGTACTCAATAATAAATATGACTGAACAGTTCCAGAAAAAAAGCATAGTTTGCTTACATTTTTAGAATAATTGCTTCAACTCTCTACTTAGTTTTAAAACTCTCTACTTCGTTTTAACAACTGTAGTGGGAGTTGAACAATGAGAACACATGGACACAGGGAGGGGAACATCACACACCGGGGCCTGTTGTGGGGGTGGGGGAGTCGGGGAGGGACAGCATTATGAGAAATACCTAATGTAGATGACGGGTTGATGAGTGCAGCAAACCACCATGGCACATGTATACCTATGTAACAAACCTGTACATTCTGTACTTGTATCCCAGAACTTAAAAGTATAATAAAAAAAATTAGTCACTGTTGTGGACATTGTGTGCCATACAAAAATAACCTACAATTTGAGAATACTTCATTCCCCTAATGCCAGTTTCCTCATCTATAAATGGGATACAACTACTCTATACTGAATTGAGTAATACCTATCTTGTCTACTTCTTAGTTTATAAAGTTCTTGGAGAAATATGGTGAAGTGTATAGATGTATTATTTTTATATTTTTAGGGCAGAAGTTCTTTGATACTGTAGTAAAATATCAGTTTAAAATGCTTATGCATCTTATCTTTCATTCTCTAGCCTGAAAAAAATGCTTATGCAGTTATTTATACAATACCTTTTCTGTGCACAACATTGTACTAAATCCCAGTGAAGAAGAGAAATACGAAAACAAATTAGGTATAAGATACTGACTCCTCTTAAGGAGTTTATATAACTAGAGAAAACGACAAAAATTATTAGATTTATACATAGCATTTGACATACATATAATAACATTAGGAAATGAACAGTGTACAAATGAATGGTACAGATAAATACTGTAAGAGCTTAGAGGATGCAGAAGTGGTGTGGTCTAGAATGACTGGACACAAATTAATGGATAAAGTAACCTAATAGTTAGATTCAAATGATAGGTAGGATCCAGCTTGGGTTGAGAAGCATTCCAAGTGAGAGGCATGGCATACATATCTCTTAATTTGGGAATTAAGTTTAACGTCATTTGCAGCATATTCAGATAACTAGTGTTTCACTTTAGAAAATGATTGAATTCCCTAACCTGTCAGGGATTAATTTCTTTAAATATCTTCAGGCTCTAAATCCTGTGGAAGTGGCATTGGTGACATGGCAGTCTGTGAAGGAAATGGTATTTGAAGGGGGTCCTCGTCCATGGATCTTGGAGCCCTCCCGATTTTTTTTGGAATTGAGTGCGGAGAAGACAGAGAAGATTGGAATAGCACAAGTGTGGCTGCCATCTAAGAGAAAACAGAACCAGTACATCTACCGGATCCAATGCCTGGATTTAGGGGAACAAGTAGGAAAACAGTTTTTTACAACATTTTCTTTAGTATAATACTCCAAATCCTTTGTACTTCCAGCCATTCCTTTTTAGATTCCACTGAATTTAGTTTATGGACTAAACAGAAAAATTCTATTTATTGATCAAAGGATTGTTTTTTCTAAAACTTTATTATCCTTAAAATGTACCCAGAGGTTTCAATTTGCTCATCCAAGAATTCCAGCAGTTCATGAACTAAACAAGATCTTTTTGTAGTAATGAGCTTATTTCACATTATTTGCAACCACATTATCATTATAATTCACTTCCTTGTTTTGTAGACTTTAGGATATTTAGTTTCCCAACTTTAAGAATTCAAGGAAGGGAAACTTTGAAGTATCATCTATGGTTAGCAATTTTGAGGAACTAATTAGATCTACACTGATAAGAATAATAAACATATTGCCCTCTATCAGTTGAATTATTTTTAATTATTTTTATTTATTTATTTAGAGACAGGGTCTCACTCTGTTGCCTAAGCTGGAGTGCAGTGCACCATCTCGGCTCACTGCAGCCTCTGCCTCCTGGGTTCAAGCAATTCTCATGCCTCAGCCTCTTGAGTAGCTGGGATTACAGGCACACACCACCATGCCCAGCTAATTTTTTTCTGAGACGGAGTCTCACTCTGTTGCCCAGGCTGGAGTCGAGATTGCCCAGTGGTGCAATCTCGGCTCACTGCAACCTCTGCCTTCTGGGTTCAAGAGATTCTCCTGCCTCAGCCTCCTGAGTAGCTGGGATGACGGGTGCACACCACCACGCCTGGCTAATTTTTGTATTTTTAGTAGAGACGGGGTTTTACCATACTGGTCAGGCTGGTCTCAAACTCCAGACCTTGGGATCTGCCTGCCTCGGCCTCCCAAAGTGCTAGGATTACAGGCGTGAGCCACTGTGCCCAGCCATTTTTGTTTTTTTGTATAGACAGGGTTTCACCATGTTGGCCAGGCTGGTCTTGAACTCCTGGAATCAAGTGATCCACCCACCTTGGCCTCCCAAAGTGCTGGGATTACAGGCATGAGGCACTGCGCCCAGCTGAGTTTTAATTATTTTTGGAGGTACTGGTGGATTTACATAGTTTTCATTCACAGCTGTGCTGTACTTCTATCAAAATCAGTAACAAAGATTTGCAGTTTTACTGGGCTTGAGAATTCAAGGTATGACTGTGAAACAGCAAAGCTAACCAGCACATAAGGAAATCAATGTAAGATTTTAACTTGGTAGGAACTGTGCTGTAATCCATAAACTTCATTCTATTTTATTTTATTTATTTATTTTTATCTTTTAGAGACAGGGTGGTCTGCTGCCCAGGCTGGAGTGTAGTGGAACAATCATAGCTTACTGCATAGGTTTCTTTCTAATATTTGTAGTGAACTTTACTGTATATATAACTAGCTATTAGTAATTTCAGAGCTAATTACTTATTTTCCTCCTCAATTTTTTATTGTGGTAAAATACACATAAAATTATCATCCTTTTTCTTCTTTCTTTCTTTTTTTTTTTTTTGAGATGGAGTTTTGCTCTTGTTGCCCAGGCAGGAGTGCAATGGCACGATCTTGGCTCACCACAACCTCCGCCTCCTGGGTTCAAGCGATTCTCCTACCTCAGCCTCCCGAGTAGCTGGGATTACAGGCATGCGCCACCACACCCGGCTAATTTTGTATTTTTAGTAGAGATGGGGTTTCTTATGTTGGTCAGGCTGATCTTGAACTCCTAACCTCAGGCGATCTGCCCACCTCAGACTCCCAAAGTGCTGGGATTACAGACATGAGGCACCGCACCCGGCCTAAAATTACAATCTTAATCATTTTTAAAATGTACAGTTCAATAGTATTATGTACATTCATAATCTTGTGCAGCCATCACTACCATCCATCTCTTCATCTTATACAACTGAAACTCTAAGGCTGGGCACAGTGACTCATGCCTGTAATCCCAGCACTTTGGGAAATCAAGTCAGGAGGATCACTTGAGGCCAGGAATTCAAGGCCAGCCTGGGCAACATAGTGAGACCCTGTCCCTACTAAAAAATAAAAAATTAGCTGGGTATCGTGGCAGACACCTATAGTCCTAGCTACTTGGGAGGCTGAGGCAGAAGGATCACTTGAGCCCAGTAGTTTGAGGTTACAGTGGGCTATGATCTAGTCACTGCACTCCAGTCTGGGTGACAGTGCAAGATCTTATCTCAAAAAACAAACAAACAAAACATACTAAAACTCTATACCCATTAAAGAATAACTCCTGGCTGGGTGTGGTGGCTCATGCCTGTAATTCTAGCACTTTGGGAGGCTGAGGCAGCTGGATCACTTGAGGTCAGGAGTATGAGACCAGCCTAGCCAACATGGTGAAACCCCTCTCTGCTAAAACAAAACAAAACAAAACAAAAACAACAACAACAACAAAACGACTAGCCAGGTGTGGTGGCATGTGCCTGTGATCTCAGCTACTTAGGAGGCTCAGGCGGAAGAATTGCTTGAACCTGGGAGGCAGAGGTTGTGGTGAGCTGAGATCGCGCCACTGCACTCCAGCCTGGGTAACAGAGCGAGACTTCGTTTAAAAAAAAAAAAAAGAATAGCTCCCCATTTCTGCTTCACCCCAGCCCCTGGCAACCACTAATCTACTTTCTGTCTCTAATTTTGGCAACTCTAAGTACCTCATATAAATGGAATACATATAATATTTTTCTTTTTATGACTGGCCTATTTCACTTAACATAATGTTCTCAAGGTTTATTCACATTGTAGCATACGTCAGAATTTCCTTCCTTTTAAGGCTGCATAATATTCCTTTATATATATATGTATATATAAAATATGTACATATAAAATTATATATATATATGTATATATGAAATTTTGCAGCCGGGTGCAGTGACTCATGCCTATAATCCCAGCACTTTGGGAGACCGAGGTGGGCAGATCATTTGAGGTCAGGAGTTCGAGACCAGCCTGGCCAACATGGTGAAACCCCATCTCTACTAAAAATACAAAACTTAGCTGGGCGTGGTGGTGGGCACCTGTAATGCCAGCCACTTGGGAGGCTGAGGCAGGAGAATTGCTTGAACCTGGGAGGTGGAGATTGCAGTGAGCCGAGATCATGCCATTGCACTCCAGCCTGGGCAATAGAGCAAGAGTCACTCTCAAAAAAAAAAAAAGAAAAGAAAAAGAAATTTTGCTTATTCACTCATCCATTGATGGACACTTGGGTTGCTTAGAGTAAGGTTTTAGCGATCATGAATAATGCTGCTGTTGACCAGGCACAGTGGCTCACACCTGTAATCCCAGCACCTTGGGAGGCTGAAGCAGGTGGGTCAGTTGAGGCCAGGAGTTCGAGATCAGCCTGGCCAACATGGCAAAGCCCTGTCTCTACTGAAAATACAAAAATTAACAGGGTGTGGTTGTGTGTGCCTGTAGTCTTAGCTACTTAGGAGGATGAGTCACAAGAATCTCTTGAACATAGGAGGCGGAGGTTACAGTGAGCCAAGATCATGCCACTGCACTCCAGCCTGGGCAACAGGGTGAGACTTTGTCTCAAATAATAATAATAGCAATAATAATAATAATGCTGTCAACAAATACAGCTATCTCTCAAGATCCTGCTTTTTAATTGTTTTGGGTATATATACCCAGAAGTGGAATTGCTTGATCATATGGTAATTCTATTTTTAATTTCCTGAGGAACCACCATACTATTTTCCACAGCAGCTGTACCATTTTACTTTCCTACCAATAGTGCACCAGGGTTCCCATTTCTCCAGAACCTCACCAATACTTGTTATTTTCAGTTTCTTTCTTTTTTCTTTTTTTCGAGACGGAGTTTGATTCTTGTCACCCAGGTTGGAGTTCAATGGTATGATCTTGGCTCACTGCAACCTCTGCCTCCCAGGTTCAAGCAATTCTCTTGCCTCAGTCTCCTGAGTAGCTGGGACTACAGACGTGTGGCACCATGCCCAGCTAATTTTTGTGTTTTTAGTAGAGATGAGGTTTCACCATATCAGCCAGGCTGGTCTCAAACTCCTGACCTCAGGTGATTCACCCACCTCAGCCTCCCAAATTGCTGGGATTACAGGTGCGAGCCACCGCACTGGGCCTTTGCCCATTTTTGGAATCAGTCTTCTACTATTGAGTATGATGTTAGCTGTGATAAGGCTTTTATTATGTTAAGATAGTTTCCTTCTTTTCCTAGTTTGTTGAGTGAGCTATTAGTAATTTCAGGCCTAATTAACCCCCATTTGAAGTTTCCTAACTTATTTTTGTTTCCACATTCCGTTATTCATTAGTACTTCTACTAGAAATAAGTGGAAACACAAATCAGTTTTTTCACTTTTTATGAACTTGTAGCAAAATATTTGGTGGAGGAAAAGACTGAAGTAATTGGTCAAAGTTAGATTCTTTTTTTTTTCTGAGACAGGGTCTCACTATGTTGCTCAGGCTGGTCTTGAACTCCTAGGCGCAAGCAATCCTCCTGACTCAGACTTCCAAGTAGCTGAGATTACAGGTACACACCACCATACCCAGTCAAAGTTAGATTTTTTTTTTTTTTTAGACAAGGTCTCACTGTGTTGCCCAGACTAGAGTGCAGTGGCATGAACATGGCTCACTGTAGCCTTGACCTCCTGGGTTCAAGGAATCCTCCTGCCTCAGTCTCTCAAGTAGCTGGGACTACAGGCGTGCACCACCATGCCTCGCTAATTTTTAGATTTTTTGTAGAGATGGGGTCTTACTATGTTGCCCAAGATGGTCTTGAACTCCTAGACTCAGGTGATCTTCCCAAAGTGCTGGGATTATAGGCATGAGCCACTGTGCCTGACCTAGATTTTTTTAATGTTCCATTTGTTTTCAAAGTTTCATGATATTATTAATGCCCTTTAGCACAGATAATTAAGAACTATAATGTCTTTAAGGGATTTGTCAGATTATAATGTGAAAGGGACTCTCTATGCTGGAATTTGAATAATTCTAACACATTTATATTGGCATCAAGTATCTACCCACAATTATCTCTTGCTTTGATATTTCCTTAAAGGTTCTCACATTCCGAATTGGAAATCATCCAGGTGTCCTGAACCCTAGTCCAGCTGTAGAGGTTTTGCAGGTTCGCTTCATATGTGCCCACCCTGCCAGTATGTCAGTAACGCCAGTATACAAGGTGCCAGCTGGTGCCCAGCCATGTCCTCTGCCACAGCACAACAAACAGCTGGTAAGTACAGAGTATGTTTCCAACTAAGTTGGCACTTTTATCTTCCATGCTTTAGAGATAGTCTGGAATTCTTTGGGGTATATATCCAGAAGTGGAATTGCCAGATCATATGGTAATTCTATTTTTAATTTTTTGAGGAACCGCCATACCGTTTTCCACAGCAGCTGTACTGTCTTACATTCTTACCAACAGTGCACAAAGGTCCCCATTTCTCCACTTATCAACATTGAATAAATTATTTTATTCATTACTCATTTTCTGATAGTGTCTGAGGAGAGGTGATTAAACTAGATTAGAATTGGCTACACTTGTTTACTATACTTAAGTACATAATCAGCTTGTGATAATGGCAACAGACAATTAAGATCTGACTACATAACTTCCAAATTTTGCTGATATCTTTTGCTACCAAATCTTTTATTAACAATATTAATAAGTAATAAAATTTACCTCTTCTCCAAACCAATCATGAAGAATAGTGGTAAGCAATAATGTAGCTACTAAGTAGGAAATGGGGTATGAAAAATAAATGAGTTATCTATCCTAGAAAGTAGAACATCATATTATATAATAAACAATGTTGAGTACAGGTCCAAGCTTGGGAGCATAGAAGTCATTACTTAGCCTATACGGAACAGAGCAATCAATTAGTTATTCCCATTTTCTGGATGAGAAAACTGAGCCTCCTAAAAGTCGATTAATTTTCTCAGTCACAAAGCTAGAAAGGAACACTTTCTGTCTGACTCCAAAGCACATGTTATTTGTGCCATACTGCCTTTTATTATGAAGAACAACAGTATGGGATGTTATAGGTTGTGAACTCATTTTTTCGAGTCAGACTTCACATTAAATATTATTTGAAGTTTATGAAGGAGTTACTTTTTTTTAAAGCACTCTGAGTGGAGTAGAATAAAAGTTACCCCTATAACATCATTGTCATTCAATGGCATTTTTCTTTTCATTTGAAATAATTCAAATTTACAGACAAGTTGCAAGAAAAGAACTTTTTCCCTGAACCATTTGAGACTAAGTTACAGACATGATTATCCATCACCCTATTGACCTACACTAGCATATATTCACCCTTTTTTTCTTTTTTTGAGACAGGGTCACTCAAGTCATCCAGGCTGGAGTACATGGCACTATCTGCAGCCTCAACTTCCCCCTCAGGTGATTTTCCCACCTCAACCTCCCAGTTAGCTGGGATTATAGGTGTGTGCCACCACGCTGGCTAATTTTTTGTATTTTTAGTAGAGATGGGGTTTTGCCATGTTGCGCAGGCTGGTCTTGAACCCCTGGGCTCAAGGGATCCACCCATCTCAGTTTCACAAAGTGCTGGGATTAGAGGTGTGAGCTAACGCGCCCAGCAGATCACCCTTTTAAAATGTTCAAATCAAAGTTGTGCAACCATCGCTGCTATCTAACTTCAGATCATTTTCATTTTCTCCGGAAGAAACTCCATACCCATTAGCAGTCACTCCCTATTTCCTCCATTTCTCAACCCCTGGCAACCACTAATAGACTTTCTGTCTCTGTGGATTTGCCTATTCTGACATTTCATATGAATGGAATAATACAATATGTGTCCTTTGTGCCTAGCTTCTTTCATTTAGCATGTTTTCAAGCTTGTATCAGTAGTGCTTTTTTAATGGCTAAGTAATATTCCATTGTGTAGATATACTACATTTTGTTTATCCAGCCATCAGTTGATGGATATATGTGTTGTTTCCACCTTTGGCTATTATGAATAATGCTGCCATGAACATTCATCTACAAGTTTTTATGTGAACATATGTCTTCATTTCTTTAGAGTATATAGCTAAGAGTGGAATTGGTGGTTTTTATGTTAATTCCATGCTTAGCCTTTTGAAGAACTTCCAGCTGTTTCCAAAGTGGCTGCACCATTTACATTTCCACTAGCAGTGTATGAGGCTTCCAGTTTCTCCACATCCTTGCCAACAATTGCTATTATGTGTCATTTTGATTATAGCCTTCCTAGTGGGTGTAAAGTGGTATCTCATTGTGGTTTTGATTTGTATTTCCCACTGTCTAATTATGTTGTGTATCTTTTTTTTTTTTTTTTTGAGATGGAGCTTCACTCTTTTCGCCCAGGCTGGAGTGAAGTGGTGCGATCTCGGCTCACTGCAACCTCCAGCCCCCAAGTTCAAGTGATTCGCCTGCCTCATCCTCCTGAGTAGCTGGGATTATAGGCATGCACTATCACGCCTGGCTAAGTTTTGTATTTTTAGTAGAAATGGGGTTTCACCATGTTGGCCAGGCTGGTCTCAAACTCCTGACCTCAGGTGATCCACCCGCCTTGGCCTCCCAAAGT